GGTCCCACATGGCACCCAGACCTCTCCTGCCACCCGCTGCTCCCCTCAGCAGTGTACTTCATCTGTCTGCCTGTTCTGTTCCCTGCTCTGGCTCTGGTGAATTCTCTCACCCTCCCGCGCTTCTGACTGTACCCAGTGCTTGTATAAACAAATAAATAAATCTTTAAAAATAAATAAACAAGTCTTTAAAAAAAAAAAGATTCAATTTAATAGGACTTCAATCCCAAAATCTAAAAGAGTAGAAGTTTCTGATTTCCTGCAATGGCTAATAGGAATAGTAGGTTCCAGAACAATTTTTGTCAACTAGTTCTCAGCAGGTCCCTATCAAGCCCATTAGAGAGAGTTGCAATGCCATACTGTTCTAAGGCCTTATATCGCCATTGGCTACTCTGCCTGTATCAGAAAACTCCCATAGTTGAAGAGGCTGGATTTCTGTCTTGAAAGACTGATGAATGTTTTCTCATTGTGGGGTCTTCTATATACTCCAGTTAGCTGAGCCATCTCTGTGTGTGGGATGTCACTAGAAAACCATGTTTGGAAGAATGTGACAAAAAGATTACCATAAAGGATAGCAGAAAATTGAAAAGATTCATACCAAACAGAATGAATCACCAAATATTGTATGAATAAACTTAGAATGTGTATATTATTACTCAGGGCCGAATTCCTGCTGAATTTTCCATGTTCTTTTGCTGTTCATAAAGGCAGAACACATGGACTGATTTTCTTAAAGCTTTGCCTTTGCATAATTCCCCTAGAAAGTATGCCCAAAGGTCACACAATGAGCACTGCAACTCCCTCCCCAAATCTCAGGAACTATAGTGTTTGTCTCATGTCCCACATGCACCCCTCCTCTCCACACATCCCTATACAGAGGCTTCCATTGACTTCATATTGGATTTCAAAAGGAGTCCTAGGAATTGTCCCCACCCCACAGAGCTCCTTAGCTTTAATATGCATGTTTACCTAGTAATTCTAAGCACTAGAAACATTTCAAGAGCCCAATCTTAGCTTACAAGTGCTCTTTACTCTTGCAACATGATTTTATCTAAACCTTTTCAGTGAGAAAATGTGGGAAAAATTAAGTCTACATACTTGTGCACATGCATGCATGTCTTTTTTAATATATATATTTTTAAAGATTTTATTTATTTATTTATACAAGCACTGGGTACAGTCAGAAGCATGGGAGGGTGAGAGGATTCACCAGAGCCGGGAGCAGAACAGGAAGACTGACAGAAGTACACTGCTGAGGGGAGCAGTGGGCATGGCAGGAGAGGTCTGCGCTCCATGTGAGACCATCACCCAGCAGCCAGGGATCGAACTGGCACTGCGGAGGCTGCGGGCAGCTTCACAGCCCAGCACTCAACCCGTGCGCCACCAGAGGAGGCCCCACATGCATGTATGTTTTAAAAGATAAAATGCATGGTAAATTTATCCTGATAATCTCTATTTCAACTTCAGGACTACAGAAATCTATTCCTTTACATATGTAAGTAAATAAATGTTTATATATATGCTATTTGTACTTATATATTTATGATAATTATCTCTTATTTACATTTATTATATTATTTATATTGCATTAGAAATATATAATTGTAGCTACATATATTATTTAATATTATATCTGTATCTTCTGACTTCCTGTTTTTATTTTTTATTTATATATATATTTTTTACATCATTGTTCTTTTTTTTTTTTTTAAAGATTTATTTATTTATTTATTTATTCATACAAGCACTGGGTACAGTCAGAAGCGCGGGAGGGTGAGAGAATTCACCAGAGCCAGAGCGGGGAGCAGAGCAGGCAGAAGGACCGAAGTACACTGCTGAGGGGAGCAGCGGGCGGCAGGAGAGGTCTGCGCGCCATGTGGGACCCTCACTCAGCCGCCGGGGAACGAACTGGCACTGCAGAGGCTGCGGGCAGCCTCGCAGCCCAGCACTCAACTGCTGCGCCACCAGGGAGGCCCATCATTGTTCATTTTTAAACAATGTTTATTTCCCCCTACCCCACCCCCACCCCTCAGGTATAGTCCCCATTCTTCTGACTTCCTTATTGAGAATCCCATTACTCACCAACACTAGGGATAGAGTATCCATTGTGGCTCATTTGCTTTATTCCACATTACTCACCTGACAGTCTCAGAATAACAACATTAATACCAACAAAAACCTCATTAACCTTCATCGTATTTTAGTTCCAAAAAGAAGCTATGTATTTCATGCTCGTCATCCTTCCTTATGTTGACACTTCTCAGACATTTTCATTGTTTGAGCTTCTTCTCTACTAGGTACCTCAGAAAGGGCTCTCACTAATAATATATCCTAAGTCTTGTGTATTTTTGATCATTTTTATGTGTCCTTCATTCCTGTGTGTCAGTTTTAAAAGGTAGAAACATTTGACTCATATTTTCTCTCCCAGATCATATTAAATTTTTTTTTCCTGGTGTAAAATGTGGTAAACAAACAAACAAACAAACAACATCTGAGGAGCTAGGTTTCTTTCTTTTTTTTACTTGTTTGGCTTATGTTCTTTCTTATCTCGAAGTCTAGATGACTTTTCCATTTCTTATATGCCACAATTTTACTAGAATATGTCTTGGTTTGGCAGATCTTATTAGGTGTATGACATGTTCTTAACATGTACTTTACTATAGCTATTTACTTGTAAAAAAAATTTAATTTATAGCTTTTGTTCTTTTTCTTCCTCAACAATTCCTACCTCCCTATGTTGGATCTTCTTTACCTATCTACAATATTTATCACTTCTCCTTGAAACATTTTTATTCTCTTTTTTATTAAAAATTTTCTCTCTCCTCACTGTTTATTCTTCATAAGGAATTACCTGTTGGGGTTGTTCATGCTCACTCCTCTAGTTTGATATATTTCTTCTATTTATAATTTCCATTTGAATTATCACCATACTTCTAGGTCTCACGAACTCTGATTTATGTTGGTATTTTATATCATTCGCTTTCTTCTTTTTATTATTTATGATTGTTATTTTCCTAATATTCTTTTGAAATAGATTAGAGTTTTGACATGTTTTCTGGACATATATTTTTGGTTTACATTCATCATCTGTATGGATGTTATTTTTCCCTTACTATTTTTATATAATAACCTTGTATTTGGCATTGATGACTTTGCTTTCCTATTTTTGATATGGAAGTAGTTTTCCTAAACAAGTTCAAGGAGAATGGTGTTTTTCATAACTTTTATGACTTCACATAGCTCCCTTTTTTTATTATTTTCAAGCATATTAAATATCGTGATTAGTTTCCTGAGATTTCAAACCTTTCCTTACTTTTATCTTCCCCTTTCCTCTCAGTGTTTTTGTTGTCTTAGACCTGCTCAATTTTGATTCCATTCCCAATGGTGTAGCGTCCTTTCTTGGGAGAGAGCTCGGGTTTGAAATTTTTGCTGGAGTGGGCAAAACTGCTACTGGTTTCAGCAGCTGTTCTATATTTCACTGTTGGCTCCCCTGTGCTCCAAAGCCTCAGACTGGGCTTTTGCTGTTGGTTCCCTTAGCTTTTTCCCCAAACATATGCTGACAGAGTAGAAGCTTTGTGGTAGCTGATGATTTTCCTCCACTCATATTTTGGGGTTCAAGGAATGCCTTGTCATCTAATTTTATTACAAATATTGCTCATGGCTTTTCAATTTTGTAATCTAGTTAACTCTGTTTATATGTGGAGATTTGGAAAATATAAAATCTATGCTTCTGTTACTACTTCTATCCTCCCAGAATTCTCAAATAGCTTTTATAACAGGCAGGCTCATTTCCCATGGTTCTTCATCTTTACAGCTAGGGATTGACAGTAAGGAAATATGAACTAAACAATATACTCTGTGTGTGTCTACACCTGTGGGTTTATTTGGGGAAGTGGGGTACAGCTGCCGACAGCGTTGCTATGTACATTTGTGGGTGTATCCTAAAAGTCTGATGTTTTGACCAAAAATACTTTTCACATTTTGAACACGGGAAGTTTTCCCTTTGGTTTGTGGCATGGGTACTGTTTGCAGAATTAGTCTTTATTTTTGGATGTATTTTTGTCTCGGAATGACACTGACACTACAACATGGCTAATTGCCTTGTGATGGGATAGTTACCTGTAACTATTTTTATTTCTTTTCCTCTAGAATCCACAGCTATTCTAATATGGAACAAATTGGCCTTCTAGTTGTCCTTGGAGTATTTCTTTTGTTTGCCACTGCAGTTCACTTTTCAGTAGGGCCTGAATGGATCCAATATGATTTTCCACACCAGGCTTCTTAGAAATTTCAATTTGTCACTTACAGATAACTTGGTAAATTCTTAATCTTGAGATCTGATAAAGTAAAAAACTTGAGAAAATGAAGGAGTTGCTTTTAAGACAATTTTTATTAATGTTAAATGAAAGATTTGCTTATCATCACTTTTGTAATTATGCCATCATCTATTTGATGGTCACCATGGCAACTGAAAACAGAATTATACAAAACAAGACTTATTAAATGACTCCATGCTAAGGCAATTTAATTTTATACTTCTCAGATTTAACAGTAAGATTCTGAAATTTGAAATAGTTTTGCAGTAGAGCATAACAGCTCCCAAGTCTATTTTTTATGTGCAAAGCACATCAAAGAAAGTTTGTGGCATGGGGATTGGAAATTAAATGCCTACAATGGCCAGAGAGGTAGTAAATATAAACAGGACCAGGGTAAAGTGATAGAAGTTAGCAGTGACTGAAGTTATCTAGAGATAATTGAAGTGTTTCTAAATAAATGTAACTTAAAATGTACCTGTGTTCAAAATAGCATGCATACATGCAAAATGACACTTGAGTGTGAAATGTCTGCAAAAATTGTACTGAGGAGATAAGACAATATATTAGTATATATGAGAAAAGATCTTTAGAGAATTACTGGTGAATTGTTTTAAGACAAACAAAAGCTTCCCATTTATACTTAAGAAAACTCAGAAATATTTAGGGAATAAATGAATAACCAAGTCCTTTATAGAAAAAATATATACTTTATTTTCAACTAGAAAGGTGCAAACATGTAACTTTTGGTCACACTTTCAACAAATAAACTGTCCAAAAAACAGTCATAGTCAAAGTAGAAACAAATGCTTCCAGGTGGAAAAACTGATCAGCCTTATAGAGCCACTCATTTATTAATAAAGGTCATTTGTTTATTAAAAGTGAGGCTACCACAGTTCCAACCCATAAATCAGACTTCCAAGGACATCTCGGCCTCACCTTCAGCAAACTGTTTAGATGGACTGTCACTCTTACTGAACAGAATTTCCATTTGAATATCCATTTCATGCTTTGAATTATCAAACAAGTTTTACATCCTACCTATGGTGTTCAGAATTGAGGCTAACATTTGAAATATCAAAGCATTAAAAACAAAAACAAAAAGGCACAAACAACTTTAAATTAACTTAGATAACTGTACAAATATATATATTTATATATACACGCAACATTTACAATATCAATAAAAAAAAATTCTGGCTTGTTACAGGCAAATTAGCTTGCCACAAGCTGTCCAGTCTAACAGACAAGATTCTGATTCCTGAATACTGCCATTCGAATCAGAATGTCAGAGCTGAATCTGCTGTTCTGACTCAAAGAAGACCTTGACTTTGCCTCATGATGGCTGGAGAGTACACATCCTAGCTGTCACTGGAGCGTCAGGCAGGTCATCCAACGTGCTATGTTCCCTCTAAGTTACACTCCAAACAGCAGGCACATTATTATTTTAAGATGACAAGCCTCTCTGCTGCCCCTCCCACTGCTCCCAAAGCCACACCTTAGTATACATTCTGGTGCAATGAGCTAATGTAGTCCCACCGTCAAGGTCAAGTCTTAACTTTCTTCAAACCAGTGTCTGGGGTTGATAGACTATTTGAATGTCACATGGCACAATATTTTGAAATTGGTGGGAACTTTTCTTTTCCCCAGTTACAAAAACAGATTTAAATAACTTGTGCTAAGGAAATCACGTTTACATGAAAATGAGATGTGAATCAGTTCAAGTTACAACCTACAGAGTTAATATCTCTCACTCTCTCTGGTTTTATGCCATGTCACCATACATTTTCCTGTAGAAGAGTGACTCAAAGATGTCATTGTCTCCGGGACAGTTATAATGGCAGGCACAGGTCTTGATAAACATCATGTTCTTCTTCATAACCTCCCCATCCGGACACTTGAACTCTACAGGGAGGGTGGTGGTTCTGTGGGGGGTACAGCATCTCCCGTCTGTGCATACTCCGCAGAACTTTGCCCGGTATGTCCTCACACTAGTGCAGCCAGAAAGCTCAAACTTGATAGGCTTGGAGATTTTGGGGGTACGGATGCACTTTTTGCCTTTCTAAGGAAGAGAAGGAAGGAGAGAAAAATCAATGACTCTATAAAAGGAGTGACTTTTTTCAACCTCTGTGTGTTGTAGTTTTAGGTTGTCTGACTTCTGTTTGTTTTCTAAGGAGTGGGCCTTTGAGTCTCTTGCCAGTTTTCTAAAAACAGACATAGCCTCTTTGGAATGCATTGAATAACAAATTTATGGAGGATTTCTAGCAGAAAGCTGGGGGTTCCTGTTAGGCAGCATCTACCTCATTTCAGCAAAACAGCTCAAAACAGGCTTTTGGGAAAACCGTTGGCCTATACTAACAAGGTTGAGACCTAACTGTAGTTCTACCCATTGTCAGTCCATGATAATCAGTTAATAGGCGCAGAACACATACCTTAATGTTCTCTTCCAGGTCGGCTTCGCAAGGCCTCACCATGCAGAGGCGGCTTTGCTTCTCCAGCCTGCAGTAGGCGTTGTCATTGGTAACGCGGGTGGAGATGCCCATCCCACAGGTCTTGGAGCAGGCACTCCACTCTGTGGTCTGGACCAGGCAGTTGTCGCGAATCATAGTTGGGTCTGGGCCAAAGGTGTCTTCCAGTCGGTAAGCTGTGAGAGCAGAGCACACCAACGCAAGGTAAGAAGACAGCCACCACTGAGCCTGGACAAAGTGAGGACTTATGCCCCAGGTGAGGATTACAACGCTGACAGGAAGATGCAACTCACCAGCCAGGGCTGGGCCAACCACGGTGTGGTCCTTGGGCTGGTCGCACACCCACTCCTCGCAGCATTTCCCGGGGAGCTTGACCCTCCGAGGGAAGGGGCAGTCAGGGCTGGGCAGGCGAACGTCCATGGCGCACAGGGGCACGCAGCCCACAGCCCCGTCCATGCAAGTGCATTGGTATTTGCAGCTGCTCTGGAAAGACTCTCCGCTTCGGTACACTGTCCCTCCAAAGACGCAGGGAGCACCATCTTTGGCTGAAGGAAAGCAAGGGGAAAAGGGATGCAACGGTCAGACATGGGCTCCCGGTCCTCCAACAGTAAGTGCGTCTGGGACAGAGCTGGGCTCAGGGATGCAGTGCGCGGGCTGGAAACAGCCAGAGAAACGGACTCAATAGCCGCGGTTTATTTTCTGGCGGGCAGGTGGGCAGGAGTGAGGATGTTATCTGGTCCCCGAGAGCCCCCGGCCCTCCCCCCACCCCCAGGCCCTCAGCTCCCGGGCAGGGGCTGCAGATCTTACCGGTGCACACGCCGATCTTGCGGTTGGCCGGGGAGCCGAAGTCGCAGAAGAGACCCTTGTGCGGGTCGCAGGGGTCCCGCTCGGTGCACAGCTCGCCCAGCTGCTTGGCGCACACCAGGCAGCAGCCGCAGCCGTCCAGCACCAGGCTGACGCCGGCCGGGCAGCGCGGCGCCGGGCGGCCGCGCACTGGCACTGCCCGCTGCAGTCCTGGCCAGAGGCGGGCTGCGGGCAGGAGGGGGCGGTCAGCGAGGCTCACGCCCCTCGGCGCCAGCCGGCCCTCCCCTTCCCGGCCGAGTCCCTCCCCACCCGGCGCGGCCGCCACGGCGGGGGTCTCCAGGCGCTTACCCGGCTGCAGAGCGCAAACAGCAGCACGAAGGCGAAGCGGCCGGGGCCCAGGCCGTAGGCGGTCATGGTCGGCGGCTGCGGGCTGCGGGTCGGAGCGCGAGGCGGCGCGGCGGGGTGGGTGAGGCGCGCTGGGCTGGAGAGGGACGCGGGCTCGGGCTGGAGGCGGGTCCTGGACAGGAGCTGTCGGCCGGGGCGGCTGCCGTCGGGCTGGAGGCGGTGGTGGGTCGCCTGTGGTTGGAGTTGCACCGGCTGCCTCCTCTCAGTGGGGAAGAGTTGTTGTGTGCGGCTGGGGCGGGCGGCCCGAGGCTTTTATACGCTCTGGGCAGCCCTGGCTCGCCAATGAGCTGAATGGAGTCCTACACAAACAGGGACATTCCTTGCATACCTCCCCACCTTCCTGCCTCATCAACTCACACCGGATTGATCCTGACCCCTTGACACTCAACATTCCTCCCGTCTGAAAAAGCTGGCACACTCCAACTCACCCAAAAGAGGGAGAGAGAGAGAAAAGAGGCTCAGTATTTCATTATTTCCAAGACCAAATAGGATTTTTTCCCCTTCCCTCTTCAAACCATTCCTGATTTATATCATTTGAAAACACATCATCAATTATTATGATTGTTTTATACTACTGACTTCTGTTTCCAGTAGTTGTACCGGGTCTACCCACTGACACAAATTCTTTTCAGGAGGTAGTAACTGCAGAGGCTAACAGCAGGGATTCCTAAAAAATTCGAAAGGGTTTCCTTCTTATTATTTTTGTCATGATTTTAGTTTTAAAGACTGTATGCCTTGAAACACTTTGGAGAGCAGAAAGGGAGTTCATTGCTTTTAATCAGCTGAATTCCCCAGTAAACCTACCTGTAAAACCCTGAATTCTGTGTTGGAAATATAGAGATTTGATCATTTGTCATGTGAGATAAAGGTTTGGATGCTCATTGCCAGACTGGAAAGAAAGCAAACAAAACCAGGGGTCTGAGTGTGGATCCAGTTTTCTGGAGGAGAGTTCCAGCACTCTTGCTTTGTTTTTCTCTTAGTACATGTAACAGTTTTATTGCTGAGGGTATAGAGAGGGAAAGACTGAGTGGACATCAGTATTTCCAGAAAAATGGGTCTATTTTTATGTCAAAGCATATGATTAGTGTTGGGTAGGTAGAGGCTCTGGGTGTTGGGATAAAGTCTCAAGGGTGGGAAAGAGGAGAACCAGATAAGAGGGGGGCTAGCAAGAAGTTTGAGATTAACTTGGGCCATTTTAAATACAATTATGGTTCATTGAGAAAGGAGTGATTTTTCTTATACTAAAACCTATAATCAAGTGTGGATTGGATTTATGTCTTGCAATTAGAAAATCTGATTATATAACAATAGTGTAGCATACCTATTATATCTGGTTATTAACTAAGAGTGTCAGTGAATAATGTATTTTAGTGACTCCTCTCACATTTATGGATACTGATTGTGATTTCTTATTACCCACAGAGCCTGCAACCTAATGGAGTAAGATCAGGTCAAGGAAAGAACAGATTTTATTCCTTCAATTTGTGTGTAAATGTCAAATATGGCCAATAAAATCTAGCATATCTCTCCATTTTTTAATATTGCTAGTAAAATTCACTAAGGCCACAATTAATTAACTGTGCTTTCACAGGCAGAATCTTCATTGTTTAGTTACTTTTTTTGTTAATTGCTCTAGTTACCATTTTATGTAAAGAAACATACCCTCTTTTTTTTCCCTCTTGAAATGCCAGATCATTTGACCAATGATATTTCCAATGAGTAGATTCACTTCAGTTGTTGATACTTCAGTGTCTAGGTTTAAGAAAAACATAATGTATCTGATGTGAATATAAGCTTTAAAAACAACACATAGATTTATAATTTGAAAACAGCCTGTTTCCACTGGTCACATTTTTTAATGTTTCAATTCTACTGAAAAATAGCCAAGAGGGGGGAATAAAATAAAGCTCTCCAAGTTCAGCACAGACCACATCATCTGTGCACAATTACCTCGCTAAGCAGTCCACATGTTGTACAGTGTAGTTGCATGTCAACAGTGTGAATGGCCAGCAAAGGCAGCCTCTGAAGCCCAGGGAGAATTTTCATCATTGCTATTTAATGTTCTTTCCAAGCATTCCTCAAAGAGAAGAGACCTAAAAGTTCCTATTTAAAGAGGGAACATTTCAAGTTATGTTAATAGCCACATGTGTATTAAAGGCAACTTGGCTCCCAACTTTTTCTTCCCTTGTGGATGATTTTAAAAGTCCAAAATATGTGGGAAGCCACAGTGAAATCTTTCAAACCTAACCCCCCAATTACATACACCACTAATGGCTGGAAAGGTGTGGTAGATGGGGAGCGGGAGGGATGTGAAGTCCAACTTCACCTAAGGTGGGATGTGGGCTTGCTGGTGAGCTTTTGTGGCTTGCAGGGTGAGGTAGATGGGAGAATAGTCGGGAATGTTTGAATACTTTGGAGCGTCTGACTGCCACCATCAACACCTTCATGTCCAGCAGAGTGGAGACTCATTCATAGTGGGGATAAATTGCTGGACTGGGTTACAGTTGGGTGACTTGGGCTGTATTCTTGGAACTACCATTCACAAATCCTAGAGCAGTCACAAGTAGGAGCCACATTCCCAAATTTCCATTTGTGAAATAACAACAATGAAAATGTTTTATTTCATAGGGTTTAATGATGGTTAATCAGATTAAAATTCTCGGGGAATTTGGTATCTCCCTCCCCCCAACTTTCTTTATTTTCCTTTTCTCTATAAATTTAACCAAGTACATTACTATTCTGCTGCATTGTAAAAATATCAAGACAAATTACCAAAAAAACTGGTTTTATTATGAAATTTTCATGGTCCCTGAAACTCTCAAAAAGTCCATAGTTAGCTCCAAATGTGTGATTATAGTATTAGTTAAGAAAACATAAGCATATTGAAATATATAGAACATAGACTCTCAAAATAGAAAAATATGTTATGTCTTATAAGGTTAGCCTGAGGTTTTGTGACCAAAACTCTTTTGAAGGGTTTGAAATAAAAGAGGATGAGAGACAGAGAGAGAGAGTGAGGGAGAGAGAGAGAGACAGGGAGAGAGAGAGAGTTGTAAGACATTCACAAACTCAAAAGTATGTTTGTTTTGTGATACAGACCATCAAGTGCCAGGAAATTCAAGGGGGAAGACTGACACTTCATTCTTAACTCCTGCCATGGGATCTGAATTCTTGCACTATTATAAATGACTCAGCAAATGTTTGTGTGTGCCTGGGCGGTAAAGTAGGAATAGTGGCTTCTTATAACGTGGTCCAACTCTGACTTATCCCAACCCCTTTGATTGACAGCGGGTCAGAATTGGGAGAAAAAGGTCTTTGAACTTGTGTGTAAAATGGTTAAGATGCCCTAATTTTGTCTTGTAAGCAAGTGTTTATCTAGCAAATGCTGTTTAGAGAGTGCTTTTTTTTTTCTTGGTAAAATGAGGAATTCACTAAGCTGGCCACTGAGTCCTATTGACAGAAATATATGGGTGTGTCTACTCAGGTATCATTCGTACAGGTCATTTGTTTAAACTTGTGAGATGTTCACCTGTGGATGTACTACATTCTTTCTCTTATGTTTTTTTTTTTTTTTCTTTTTAAAAAAAGTCTCTTGATCAAGTATCAGACATAGAGAAAGCTGGCAAGACTACAGGAAAGTGGCTAGACGTGGAGTGTTTGTGTACTTAAAGAAGGAATCTTGCACATTTTCAACTTTCAGTCATAGACATTTTCTTATAAGAGCAAGTAGAAATCTGTGCCAGCCCTCAAAGCGGAAATCAAAGCTCCCAAGGAAACATACTGGAGGAATGTGATTCAGTGCCAAGCTCCACACGCAATGCCTACACTGAACTGTCAGATTTATAGGAAGTCTGGCCGTATATGGGTATCTGGACAGAGAGCGATTTGTTGTTTAGGTGGGTAGGGATGGGCTTCCGATGGTTCTAGCCTGCCTCAAATTCAATCATGTAAATGAATTTCACCAAAAAAACTGGTGTGCCAGAGGCTTTTTGAAACATTGTAATAAATATTATGCTAAAATCTTCAGGGATCCTGGGCTGGCTTACATAGCCTTATGTTTGCTTAAGATGAAGGTTACAGAGAGGGCATACTCGCCAGGAGCTCAGAGGTGGGGAAGGAGGGCGGATGTTTACCATCTAAATTATACTCATTTCCTTCATGCTTCTTCCTCCTTATAATTAGTTCTCTGACTTTCTTAGGATGTTTTTTGATGCAAAGGCATTTATCAGAGTGTAGTCAAGGCTGTTCCCTGTGGTTTGTTTCAGGTTTGCTTGTTCATTTATTTGCTTGTAGATGGAGTGGAGTGTTAGAGCAGTGAGAAAGTGATGGAATTTAAAAAAAAAAAAAGATATTTCCTTCACCTTACCACTTGTCTCACTTCTTTTAATGGATGTGCTAGATTCTGGTATTACCTCTAGTGTGTGTAGCTCTGAGATGGTGCCGGTGAATGTGAATCTTCTATGATGGAGATAGGTCTGTAACACTTTTCTTGACAGATTAGTGACTCACCTAGGAGTGTTCCCATAGATTTATAACCTGGATGGGAAGAGTTTTCCCTTAAATTGATTCTTTTTTTTTTTTAAGGATTTATTTTATTTATGCATGCATGCAAGAATTGGGGTTTTGGTCAGAGGTGGGGGTGAGAGGATTCACCAGAGACAGTGTGGGGAGCAGAACAGGCAGATCCAATGAAATACACTGCTGAGGGGAGCTGCGGGCGAGACAGGAGAGGTGTGCTGCGCCATGTGGGTCAGCTCCCTGGCCACAGTGGCTGGCCACAGCTTGATAGCCCTGAGACAATAACCCCTCTGCCACCAAGGAGGCCCTTAAATTGATTTTTAAGGTGATAAATGAGTGACAATAAAAAAGGGAGGGGAGGCAGCCATGCTTTCAAGTGTGTGACTTGGGGAAACCAAATCAACAGGTTTAAGAGGAAGAGAATGGAGACTAGATAACTGATTTCAAAGAATGGGAGTGAATGAAAGAGTAAACACTTTGAAAGGACTAGT